ATCATAACACAGGTCACAATTAACTTTGATTATGTGTGTAACTTTTGTCACTCTGGATATGGGAGACACACACAGACAAATGTTATATCTCTTCCCCTCGATACCTAGCTCGGAATACCTCTCATTCCACCTTAGATGGTTAAAATGTGTTTTCAGAATAAAGGGACATTCTTAGGTTTTATTAAAATTGCTGTTTTGCCTAAGGCAGGGAAAATTCAACGCTAGATACCAAAGTTCTATTCCCTTCCTAACTCAGAAAATATGGAATTAGAGAAAAATTCTAAAAGAGGAATTTTCTGATCAGAAGAGTAGGGGACCCTGTTGCTGACTGACACAGGCAAAGGTCACAAGCTAGGTGACAATGTAAAGATCTCTAGTCAGGATGCCCGGGAGGGTTTTCATCACCACAGATGTGGACAGCAACTCCAGTTGAAACAACAGCCCTTTTAAAAATGGATTTAGGCTGATCCAGTGAGAGAGTCTGGGTTTCCCTGGTGGCTCAGTCGGTAAAGAACCTGCCTGCAAGTCAGGAAATCTGGGTTCAATTCCTGGGTCAGGAAGATCCCCTGGAGAAGGGAATGGCAACCCCTCCAGCATTCTTGCTGGGAGAATCTTATACAGAGGACCCTGGCCAGCTACAGTCCATGGGGTTGAAAAGAGTTGGACACAACTGAGTGACTTACTAATACAGACATACACACACAGAGTAAGGGTCTCTCCTGGGATTAATGTCTGAGCATTAGAAGAGGAAATTTTGCTTCCCATTCAGAGCTCTAAAGTAAGCTTAGAGATACAAAATCAAAAATAAAGACTGAAAAGAGGTGAAGAAAGAGATTTTTATTGATGAGGTTTGAGCTCTGGGTTCAAATATATAAGAATCTAACTTTTTAAAAATAAGAATCTAACTTTAACTTTAGAGTTAATCATTATACAAGAAAAAATATTCTTAATTTGATTTCATTGTTTCTAAATTAATCTTAATTCACAGATTTACACAAAACCTGAATAGTTCTGCAGTCCCAATGCAGACATGTTTTATATATTTAGACAACTTGGAAAATTTGCACCACTAACAAATTTGAAGCTCAACTGAAATTAATTATCTCAGTAATATTTTGGTTCCATAAATACTATGAAACTGTTTTCCTGAGTCAGGCAGTGTGGTAAACACTATTTCCTTATTAGTTTTGCTTAATCTTCACAACTATGTCACAAGACACAGCTACTTATTATTTTTATTCTTCACAGGTATCCTGGCTAGAGATCTCTATGTCATCACCTAGCTCATGACCTTTGCCTATGTTAATCAGCAACAGAGTCCCCTACTCTTCTGATCAGAAAATTATTCTTTTAGAATTTATATATATATAAATAACCTATAATGGAAAAGATTGAAGGCAGGAGGAGAAGAGGATGACAGAGGATAAGATTGTTGGATGGCATCACCGATTTGATGGACATGAATTTGAGCAAGCTCTGGGAGTTGGTGATGGACAGGGAAGCCTGGCATGCTGCAGTCCGTGGGGTCAAGAGTGGGAGGTGACTGAACTGACTGACTGATAATGGGAAAATAATCTGGAAAAAAAAAATATGTGTGTGTGAATAACTCTGCTGTATACCTAAAACTAACATATTATAAATCAACTTCAATTAAAAAAAATAGTAATTGTGCAATTTTCTAGTCATTGTGAACCACCAGGGAGCTCCTCAAAATAGTAAAATAGATGTCAATTTTAAGACTGAACATCAAATTTAGGTCTTCCTATCTCTCAAACTCTCCAAGATTATGAGATATTAAGAAGAAGAATAACATTACATGTTAAGAATTTTTTTTAGGTAACATGGTTAAGTAACCACATCTAAAGTAAAGAATACTAAGATAACTTACTTACATAAAACATCACATCTTGTGCAGTTTTCNCTGAACATCAAATTTAGGTCTTCCTATCTCTCAAACTCTCCAAGATTATGAGATATTAAGAAGAAGAATAACATTACATGTTAAGAATTTTTTTTAGGTAACATGGTTAAGTAACCACATCTAAAGTAAAGAATACTAAGATAACTTACTTACATAAAACATCACATCTTGTGCAGTTTTCAACCTATTTAATTGCCATCATATTCCTTTCAGGCGGGTGGAGGTTCATGTTGCCACCTCCCAGAGAGGGCAAGGCACTCAGGGAAGCTAAATGTCTTGCCTGAGGTCAAATAGCTGATAAGTGGCAGAGTTTTGAGCATGAACCCACTTATCTCTGCCCCAAAGCTCACTCCAGTTCAGTCAAGGTGAACATTTATCCTTAGGAAAACTTATTTTAAATACTTGGACAACTGCTCTTAGAAATGTTCATCCCACCAAGAACCGAGGGCCCCAAGTCCAATTTAGAAACCTTATTAGTCTAATAAGACTTCAGTTCCATCAGCATAATTGGCAGCCACCTCAATTGCAAGCAGTCTAATTACTTTATACTGGATTCCTCATTACTGGGTTGTGAGGGCAGGCAGAAAGTGAGGGGAGAAGAGAGGCATGTCTGGGGAGTGCTGGTGGAGCCTAAGACTGCTCTGTGAGCCTAAGAGCAGCTGTCCAAGGTCACTGGGGTATCGGAAATCTACAAGAACAGATTACTGTACTGTCAACCACCTAAAGTTCTGTTGGTGCAGAGGTGACAGCTAAGAGAAGTTAATGTCCAATTTGTATTACAGGCATTAAAAGATTTTTTTTTTAAAGAACCTCCACAGCAAGGAAAACCTCAGAACTTGGTTGAACTGCTAATACTTAAATTACTGCATTTCTTCTTAAGACCACATTTCACTGGATGAGTGTGGATCTTAGCTGTTCTTTAGGACTAAGAAACAACAATGGGCAAACACACAACTGACACCATCTATATTTTTTAAACGGAATCTCACTTTTTTCCACCTCTAAAATCTCTTCTATGCTTTCTCTTCTACCTTCAGAACTTACACAACATTTGAAATAATGTCCTTAGGATACATTTCCAGAAATAGGAATGATAATTCACAGGTTATGTACATTTTGAAGTCTTGAGCATTTTACTAGAGCTGGTACAGGGCTATTATTTTTTATATTTGTGCCATTAAAAGATAGTTTTCAGCAATGCCACGTGGTGGCAGGTGTCAAGCAACACCTTGGGAGATCATCAAAGCAAATATTTTTCTCTAGCGAGCCATATGTCATGGGATTAACTATATTCTCAAAAGTTTTCAAAGTGGATTTCTCAATACTTTCTCTGAGTCACATTTTAATCCCCCAGCTTTACTGATGGGTAATATTGTAAATATTTAAAGTATACAATGTACTGTTTTGATATATGTATCCTTTGAGATGATTACTACAATCAAGTAAATTAACATATCCATCACCTCTCACAGTTATCTTTTTTCTTCTTTTGGTGGGAAAGCATTTAAGATCTATTCTCTTAAAGTTATGCTAATATCAAAGTTTTTTGACACATATTGCTAAATTGTCAACTGCATGCCAATCTTCAACCCTTGGAATCTCCTCTTGCTTGTTTTACTTATTGTCATTAGTTGGATAAGAAATTCAATCCCTGATTGGGAAGATCCCCTGGGGAAAGAAATGGCAAGGCAATGGCACTTCAGTATTCCTGCCTGGGAAAGTCCATGGACAGAGGAGCCTGGTGGGGTACGGTCCATGAGGTTGCAAAAGAATCGGACATGACTTAGTGACTAAACAACAACAACTGAATCTCTACTTATAGCAAGTTTCTATAACATAGGGCAATACATGTTTTTATATAATAATATCTGAGAGTACTAGGGAAGGTCAGATAAACAAGATTTGCACATATCAAAGTAGACTTTCTTAAAGAGGTAACATCTTAGCACATGGGTTCCAATTCGCTCATCGCTCTCCATGTTCCATGGAACTTTGGAGACTCAAACTGTAGTCCCAAGTCCACAGCTTAAGTCAATCAGAAGCTTGCTTCCCCAGGAGGATATTTCAAACAGAGCCCTGACTCTAAAAAGATTTTAAAAAATCAGAAAACGATTCCAATGCCTTTGACTATTCCACAGTAAGCCAATCAGCATGAAGTTCAATACTTTTGCCTGTGAGCCTTGACCACAACATCCTGGTCCCATTTTATGAAGCATTTCATGCTCTAAAAAATATTTAAACACATAGGAAACGTCATCACTGCACAGAAAGGAAATGATGTTCCATGTTCAGTCCCTAAATCATGTCTGCCTCTTTGGAACCCCATGGACTACAGCATGCCAGGCTTCCCTGTCCTACACTATCTCCTGGAGTTTGCTCAAACTCATGTCCATTGAATCAGTGATGCCAACCAACCATCTCATCCTCTTGTCACCCTCGTCTCCTCATCCCCTTAATCTTTCCCAGCATCAGGGTCTTTTCCAATGAGTCAGTTCTTTGCATCAGGTGGCCAAAGTATTGGAGCTTCAGCTTCAGCATCAGTCCTTCCAGTGAATATTCAGGGTTGATTTCCCTTAGGATTGACTGGCTTGATCTCCTTGCTGTCCAAGGGACTTTCAAGAGACCAGATCAGCAGTAAAGTCACTTAGTTGGGTGCACACATCCAAGAGGGCTATTGTGGTCCTGCCATCTCTAAGCCAAGCTTCTAAAGAAATTTCCTCTAAAAGCATGATTATGAGTTCAACTCAACTNGAAAACTTCCCCCAGTCCCGCCAGTGAGAGGGTTTCCTGGTGATTGGAAACTTCCTCTATTAAGACTCCCTTCCCGGGACGGGTCTCCGTCCGTAGCTCTTTTGACTCCCTTTTTATCTTTTATATTTTGTCCTACCTCCCTTCGAAGACAATGGGCTGCTTTTCTGGGCGCCTGATGTCCTCTGCTAGCGATCAGAAGTTGTTTTGTGAAATTTGCTCAGCGTTCAAATGTTCTTTCGATGAATTTGTAGGAGAGAAAGTGGTCTCCCCATCCTATTCCTCCGGCATCTTGGCTCCTCCCCCCCAGGCCAGCCATTTTCAAGGAAATCAATATCGGTCACTGGATTAATCTCTCAATTTGTCTTATTTCATTCTTAGGAAAAAAAAGGACGAGAAAAATCTACTAATTTCGGGGTAACCACTAGCTCCAGAATACCCATAGTACATTAGATGCATTTCTTTGAAATTTCCTTCCTGTTGCCATTTGCTGGTGACCCTCTACCCATCTCAGTGATATATATTTTACCACTGTCCAATAGTTCCTATTTCACACATGACCCAGAATTAAAAAGTGAAAGTTTGACATTATTGGAGAGATTTCTTCTTCAAATCAGGAAAGCTGAATTCTACTCACAGACCTGCCACTGGGAACTTTGGTAAGCTGTATACCTTCACTGCAATGATTTCTTCTTGTTTAAAGTAAGGATGTAATGAGAGGTTCCGATACACTGCTAGGTATACGATAACTAATGAGAGCATACTGTATATAGCACGCGGGAAAAGAAAGGTACGATCTGTTCACAGGACATATGTTCGTGTGACAGTCGCTCACTGGTGTCCGACTCTTTGCGACCCCCATGGACTATACAGTCCATGGAATTCTCCAGGCTAGAATAGAAGAGTGGGTAGCCTTTCCCTTCTCCAGGGGATCTTCCCAACCCAGGGATTGAACCCAGCTCTCCCACTTTGCAGGTGGATTCTTTACCTGGTGAGCCACAAGGACACACATTAAGTTAACCTTAAAATGCATTCCAATAAACATTATGTGCAGGCAAATATTGTTTGATTCCACTTAGATGAGGTACTTGGAATAGTCAAATTCATATAGTCAGAAAGTGCATTGTTAAATGTCAGGGGCTAGGGAGGGGGAGACGGGGAGTGGGGAGTTTTTGTTTAGTGTGGACAGTTTCAGTTTAGGAAGGTGAAAAATTCAGGAGACGAATGGTGGTGAGAGTTAGACAGCAAGGTGAATGTACTTAGTCCACTGAACTGTAGAGTTAAATATGGTTAAAATAGTACATTTTATATTATGTGACTTTTGTTGTTTTTTAGTCACTAAGTCATGCCTGACTCTTTTGCGACCCCATGGACTGTAGCCTGCCAGGCTCCTCTGTCCATGGGATTTTCCAGGCAAGAATACTGGAGTACATTTCCATGCCCTCCTCCAGGGGATCTTTCCAGTCCAGGGATCGAGCCTGCATCTCCTTCATTGCTCCTGCATTGGCAGGCGATTCTTTACCACTGAGCAACCACAGAAGCTTTAATGTGACTTTTGCCACCAAAAAAAAAAAAAAAAATTTCTAAAAGAAAAAAAAAAAAAGTAAGAAAGAATTTGGAATCCAGAGTAGACATGTCCACGGAATTGCTCCTGAATTAGTCCTGAGAATATAGCCTGCCAGGCTCCTCTGTCCATGGGATTTTCCAGGCAAGAATACTGGAGTAGGTTTCCATGCCCTCCTCCAGGGGATCTTTCCAGTCCAGGGATCGAGCCTGCATCTCCTTCATTGCTCATGCATTGGCAGGCGATTCTTTACCACTGAGCAACCACAGAAGCTTTAATGTGACTTTTGCCACCAAAAAAAAAAAAGAAAAGTTAAAGAAAGAAGGAAAACAGGAAATTAATTTATTTCTGTCTCTTGGAGAAACAGCACAGAGGTTGGTAAGTTAAGACTAGAACAGCAGCTGCATGGTTTCAGATACCCAGGCTGTTCCTACCTTATTCATCTACCATCCTTGGCACATAGACCTCATGGTGGCAGAGGGCTTGCTCAGTTCTCGCCTTCTCAAGCATGTCCCAGTCAACAAGAAGGAGAGAAGGAAAAAAAAAGGAGGAGGAAAGGCAGAGAAATGACATACCCCATTCCTTTAAGGAAGAATTCCGGAAGACCCCCAGCACTCTTTAACCCTCAGCTAGAATTTAGCCCCAGGCCACATCTGACAGCATCGGAAGTTGGAGAAGGTAAACTTCTGAATCACTGAGATCAATGTGGACTATTTTATTATTTTCATACCAGGAAAATCTCCAAGAGGGAGTGACGACAGCTCCTCAAGTCTGTTTCTGAGTATGTATTTTGAACAAGACTCACAGAGTTCTCAAGAAGACTCCCACTCATCAGAGCTTTCAGTTTTTCTCAATTCTATCCCTCTCCCAACTCTCTACATAATCATCCACATCCTACGGAAAGGGACCAGGGTGAAGACATCAAGAGACAGAAGAAGTGCTTCCCTTTTCCTGTGACAACTCCTACTTTATTTTTTGGGGAAAAAAAAAAAGCTTGTGCGATAATAAGACCAACTTTTTGTGCATAACATCTAAGAAATGCAGGATTTCATGGCTACCTGAGAGCATAATCTACAAGGGCACAGAGCTCATGTATCAACCAAGAAGAAAAGGGAAGACCATCTCAAGACACAGTGACAGAAACACCACCTGGAGAAGAGATTGAAAAGACGACAACCAGCCTGACCCACCTCTCAGGGAACTCCTACTGTGCCCCTGATTTCGTTTGAAATTGCCCCAATAGGCTTCACTGCGCTGCACAGATGAGAAAGGAGAGTCAAGGAAGTTAAGTGGCTTTGTTAAAAAGGAAACCGTCCCAGGAGCAGAGGTGGGGTTAGCACTCTGTGAAGTCCGACCCTGTCATTCTTATCTGGCGTTGTAACCCCCGCACTGACTGGAGTGACCAGTGCGTGGGATCAATAAGAATTGTTTGATTGAATGCACAAGTGAAGGGATCACTCCAAATCTCATGTACTGTCCCCAAACGGGCCTCCCACTAAGAGTAGAGTTTGTGCTCCTCCTGCTAGCAATACTTGGCACCTCAGAAGGTGATAAAACCTACCGTGGAGCAGATCCCCACCGAGCTTCAGAATTGGAAACCACATCTTATTGCTGCATAATGGCCCTGGTTCTATTTCCCACATCACAGAGAATGCAGCCTAAAAGAGATTGAGTTATTCCATACAAAGACTTCACAGGAGGAAGGGGGGGAAGTTGTTTTGATTCACCGCTTTTTTTTTTTTTGGCGTTTCGAACACAATAATGCACATTTTCATCAGAAGCTAAATGATAGTGCTTACAGTATTTAATATCTGAATTCAATTATGTTTTTGAAGGCTTATTACCATGGTAAAAGGAAAGTATTTCAGAAAATTTCCAAAGGCATCAGTGTACAATTGATGGGGGAAAAAAGGATACACTGTTAAGGAAACTATGTATCCAGATGCAAGAGAGACATTGGGAGGGACACACAGAAACACACACATAGACATGCAAAAGACAGAGACTCACCGAGTAAAGATAAACACACACATGAATTAGAAGAATAAAGAGATAAAGAACCTCCAGCGTGACCTTCCAACACTCTTGATTGGTAACACTAGTTCCCTCATCTCTCCTTAAAAAGCATCTCCGCCCACCCAATCACCATGCCTCCGATGAAGTAATTTGTCAAAGAGCAAGCAAGTCTGGGGAGGGGGCTTCCCTGGTGTTGCCATGGGTAAGAATCCACCTGTCAATGCAGGGGACTCGGGTTCCATCCCTGGTCTAGGAAGAGTCAGCCAGCTGCGGAGCAACTAAGCCTGTGTGCCAAACTACTGAGTCCATACCCCAGAGCCCACGCTCCACAACTGGAGAGGACCCCCCACTTGCTGCAACTAGAGAAAGCCCAAGCAACAGAAACCCAGCACAGCCAAACAATTATTTTTTTTAAAATAAAGGCTCTCTTGAAGGACTCTATTAAAAAAAAAAAAAAAGCCAATGTGACCATTTTACTCATCTGCCTAACACCGTGCTATATGTATTCCATTGCCCATGAGATAAAAGTCTAAGTCCTCTGAACTGCTTCATACTGGTCAAATCTGGGACAATTTGAGCATTAAGATATATAATGATAGCAATAGCTGATGACTCATAAAATAAAAACCTACAAGTCCATAATGATATCTATGAATTCATTAGGAAAAGAAATGGGGATGCTGTTAATTTGAAACTGACAATAAATTCTGAAAGAATAACAGACTTAGAAAATCACCAGTGGATGCTGAACTCAGTGGATGAAAGATTGATGGAGAACAACATATTTACATTGTCTCGAGGAATTTCTCTACCAATCATTTATTAATTGCAATGAGAAAAATAAGAAAAATTTGAAAACACAAGGGGAAAAAGAAGATACAACACCACTCCATCATCGAGTAGTAACTTTTTTAAAGATTATTTTTAAGTGGATCATTTTTTTTAAAGTCTTTATTGAATTTGTTACAACATGGTTACTGTTTTATGGGGTTTTTTGGGTTTTGTTTTTTGTTCTGTTCTGTTTTGCTGAGAGCCATATAGTAGCTCTCTGACCAGGGATCAACCCACACCCTCTGCATTAGAAGGTGAAGCCTTAACCACTGGACTGCCAAGGAAGTCCCTATTAGTGACTATTATTAACATGTTTTCTTTGATATTTTTGGTGAGAGAGAACGAGAGGGAAGAAGCAGGAGGAAGATGAGAGAAAGGAGGAGGGTGGACTCAGTTGTCATGCTGTGTGAATTATGTCATGTTGCGTCCTTCTTTGTTGATTATATAATTATACAATATTCATAGGCCACCCCACCAACAGGTTGCATTGGGTCAAAAATATTATCTTTTCATCTGTGTTTAAATGTTGCTGAAATAACCTCCCTATAGTGTTTTCCTCTCTGCACATCACACAAACCATGGCCTGTTCATTACAAACCAAGAGGGAGCTGTGCATCTTGGACACCTTAGTCTCAGCACAGCCCAGCATCAGCAGAATTTAACAGGCCGCATCAATCGTTTAATAGTAACAGACAGAGGCCAATTTTTCTCAAGAAGTGAGCTAGTGCCCAATGATTAAGAAATCTGGGGGCTCAAGGCTCCTTTCCATCTTCCTTTGGCCCTGTGGATTTGGTCCATTATTCAAAGTCTCCATCTCTTTGCTTTACCATGTTTAAAATGGAAAGGAGAGATCTAGTGTTATGCTCACATTTACTCTTGCAATCTTTTGACCAAGCAACATTGATTGAGTACCTTTCCTAGGCCAGACACCCTGTTCTTGGGCAGAGCTACTGAGCAGAATAAAGCATCTTTCTATTAGCTGTTCTCAGCCCATTGGGAAATAAAAGATTTAACCACAAATTATGGTATAAAGCAGTGAGTTTCATAGCAAGGTAATGTTCCTCATGGTAGAGGAGTTGAGAAGAGAATTCTTTAATAATCATACAATATTACATCCTGTCTAAAGAACAGTGGTGAAGAATCAATGGGGGAATCCCATAGAATTGCAGAGAGTGGGACCAAGGGCTCTAGTCTGGTGATGGCAAACGGCTGCCACAGGATCTCCTCGTCTATGTTCTTTGCAGACAT